ATCTTATATAAATTTCCTAAATCCGAAAGATTATACGAATCCATACAAAAACACGATTGCAAAACGAAAAGTAATATAATGACAGGTACATTACCTCCTGCCGCCGTCAGATGGCAGCAGCATGCAGGGCGCACAAAGTCGCAGCTGTTATTAGATTACTTTTCTACTTTTTGTTTTGCAACCATGTTTTTCTATGGATTCGTACAGTCTTTTGGATTTAGGAAATTTATAAGATGAGGATTTTGGCTGATTTTGTTAAAAGTGTTCGTGTTTCGAGAAAAAAGTATCTTAAAATCAATACTATTTCACGTTCAGAGCGATAATCAAAGCTCTCTTCTTGCCAAAGAATTTCAGATACCGTTCGACACTCTTAATACATAAATATAAAAACGAAACAAGAAAATAACTTCATTGTTAATAAATTTATATGAACCCAAATCTAAAACATCTATTATCTATACGCATATAAGTATACATTAAATAAATTCTGGTTCCTCATAAAACACTATTTTTAAATATTTAAAACTCAATTTGTTTTAAATTGGGCACGTAAGCTGATTTTAAAACCTATTGAGAAAAGTTTTCTATTCATCTTAGAACCATAATCAAAAAGAATTTTTAAATGCCAATTCATTTTTATTTAAACCTCCTTCTGGCGCACCGTGATCAGTCATTTATCATTGATTGTCCAATTAAAAAATTACTGAAATTTTCTGTCACGCATTGCAAATTTCAGTTATTTTTTAATTGGACAATCAGTGAAAAATGACTGATATTTCAGTCATTTTTAACTGATTTTTAGTGACATTTCACTGATTGAAATCGCGAGAATAGACCCACTGATTGTCAATCAAATTTCACTGATTCAGTTTTAGAGAGCACCCTGCTCTAGTAAAAATTTAGTAACTTATTTATAGTAACTTTTAATTTTAACAATAAAATCACTAAATTTTCACTAGAGCAGGGTGCGGTAATTGACAAGAAGTATAATAAATGTCGAGTAGAGATTTTGGAGAATGGTGACAATGGAAACTAATCGTTCCCCACCAAATATCGAAAAAAGCTACCATTCCCTGCAAAGTTTGACAATTCAGATGTTCTACTGATTATTCTGGTTAGTTTCCATTATCCCCACTCGCCATTTGTCATAATTCTCGTCAACTACAGCACCCTGCTCTAGTAAAAATTTAGTAACTTTTAATTTTAACAACAAAAATTGTTAATTATTTTAATAATTAATTAATTATTTTAATATGGGTTCAAAAGTACACAGAAAATTAAAAGGCATTAAAATAAGCTGCAACGCTTCTTATTTTAATCCAATTTTACTTATTTTAATCCATTTTGATATTAAAATAAGCAAAATTGGATTAAAATAAGAAGCGTTGCAGCTTATTTTAATGCCTTTTAATTTTCTGTGTATCTTAAGAAATATTCCAACTTTATTTAAAAATTACAAAAGCATTTGTGTTTATTGTCATTATACATATTTAAATAATTTATATTTATTTATTATAAAACAATATTTTAAATGATAAAGTATTTGAAATATTTAAAAAAAAGTAGTAAAAAAAAAAATTTTCCTTAATTTGAATAAATAAATTTATTTAAATTTTATTTTGAGTTGAACGAATTTCGATTAGATGCAGCTAAAAAGTGAATGTTTAATTTTTAACGTCGTTTATAGTATACACTATATCTATATTGACTAAAGTGTCACGACTTGTTGAACTTTTTTTTTTTTTTATTTTTTATTCATGCAAAGTTTCATCGAAAGGAGGTTACCCCGAGGGTGCGATTTACTCGACTAAGATAACCTAATGGTTTAGGGTAGTAGTACCTAAGGCGATCTTTCCTCAAGCGCAACAATGGACATTCTTCGTTCGAGCGGAAGTTGTGATGTTGTGGTGAGAATTCTCTTAAAGTCCGGAACAAAATCGTTTTATATCTCCCCCCCCCCGCAACTAGTATTCGAAAAATCGTTTTTTTTTCATCTACTATCAATTTTTCACTAATAAAATATCTATAAAGAAAAATTACAGTAATTTTACAAAATACTTTTTTAACAGTTTTTTTAACTTTATAGTCTCAGATTTTATTTTAGAATATATTTTTTTTATTTTAGATTGTATTTTAGATTTTATTTTAGAAATTAACATTTATTTCATTATTATTATCTTTATTTATAAAATATGTGAACGATAAATTTTTGTTTTTATTACTGCAGCTCTGTATAATTTGAAAGTATAATTTTTTTTAATTATAATTGCGAATTGGTGTATATATTTTTTTTTAATTCTCGGAGCAGAAAGTAATTTTACCGCGTGTCCTAAGTACATTAATGTCGGGTTATTTGTTGAAAGGGAGGGTTGAAAGCCAAAAGGTTACCTGCTTGAGGGTACCAGGCTTATATTGAATACGTGAGTCACATCTCAATATTGCAATGCATTTTGATATTACAGAGAAATGGTTTTTTTTTTCTTTATTCCAGTAAATTTTTTTTTTTATATAAAATTCACACATTGTTACAATTAACAAAAAAAAATTGAGAAAAAGAAATAATATTCCTTTTTCTCTTCTAACATATTATTACATAAAATTCCTGTTTTACATTTTTTAAACGCAAAAGCGAGGAACAAAAGATACATATATTGCCTTCTATAAATTCTATGCTCGAATCGTAAACTCTGCAAAATCTTTTCAATGCTATTGCAATTTCCTTTCTTTTTTTTTATTTGCTCTTAAAAAATGTATAAATAAAATTTTTTTATTGCTTACCTTTGTGTTTTTGCCAATATATAAATATAGTATACATATCCGTTTAATTAACTTTAATTTTCAAAGAGAAAGTCTAATGAATTTTGTTGAGTAAACGTCTTTTGAAAAGTTAAGTCTTTTTTACTTTGAAAAAAAAAGTATATATAAAGTAGTCTTGTCAGTAGTATGGAAACAAGTTTACTCATTAAAGTTTTTATTAAAGTCTTAATGAGGAAAAAAGAAATTTAAATAATTTAAAATTTGGAAAATATTATTTATTATTTACGATTTAGAAAAAAGCAAATTAATTTATTATTTTAAGAACATAACTGTTACTCCTAAGGAATAGAAACTGAGATTAGATAACTAAAGGGATACATTTTCCGCAAATAGAATTGTATATAAAGTTATCTTGACCTATAGCAAATGCGGTTTTATAATAAATTTAATTAAAAAAATTTTAAACACAAATGTTTATTTAAATAAAAATTAGTTTCTGTTTTAAAATTTATACACATCATTACATAACCCGAATTCTGTCAGAGTTAACAATGCGCTCTCGGCATCACAGCTTGATTGTCAATTAATTTAATTACAAATTCAATTGGCCTCGCCACAGTCATGAAAAATAATTATAGTAACCAACTCGATGAATCTACTTCCTGTCTCTATATACCCGCACTTATTTATACAAATGAATACAAAAAAAAATTACATTAAAAGAATCGTGACATTCTGTCCTTTGAATAAAATCAAAAAAAAAAGAGAAAATGATGAAAAAAATTATAAAGTGATATTTATACTGTTAAATTAATAGGTACAGAATGTTGAAATTTCATTGAATCAAGATTCATGAATAATTTTCTAGGGAGAGGATCAAAGGGCAGAAGAGGGAGAGAGAGAGAGAGAGGGGGGGGAGGGGGATATATAGTCTGCTATTATATATAGAAGCGATTTTCTTTTCCTTTGAACTATGTAGATTGTCTTCTCTTTTAAATTCTTACTTATTCAAGAAGGATAACTCAAAGTGGATAATGCCCCTCACTCTATATAGTGGATCAGTGTACTTTTTGCACAGACTAATTACACGTTGATAATTAACGAGCTTCCTTTGTAAAACGTCTCTCTATATATATAATCGCAATGAAAATTTCTTCTTCTCATTGACGATGACGACATGCCCAGCAGCTGTGTTTTATTCACTTCTCTGTCGATTATTATATATATATATACTCACTATATATAAATTATTACTTTGGAAAGTGTTTCATGAAAAAAAAAATTAATTAACCCGGTAATTTCTCTATAAATTTGAATTAGAATTCATTCACTAATTAAAATTATTTGAAATTTCTACGAATTTTTAGTCAATTTTCAATAAAACTTTGGATCACATTTTTCCACTGGAAATCCAGTAGAACGTCCGAAATGTACCGTGTCTTTATATTTTTTTTCCACCTTCCCCACCCTGCTTTTTCTCTTTTCTAGTTCTCCACCGTGGATCGAAAAAAAGCTACCATTCCCTGCAAAGTGTCACACTTCGAATGTTCCACTGATTATTCTTTATTGTCAATAATATTTTACCATGATTCTTAATCTGAAAAAAAACTATTTTTTCTGCTTATCGTTCGAAGATCATTTTTTTTTAAGTTTATTCTGCTTGTATTAAATTTCAAGCATTTTTATCTAAATTGCGTGTTTCTGAACGTTTTTCCGAATTCAATTTCACGAAATCAATTTCCCGAATTCTGCTTTTACGACAAGTATATTTTTCCCGCCAAAATAAAAGAAGAATATTCATTTTGGTTGCTATGGCAATATTTAAATAAATATTGACATTAATTTTCTAAAGTCTTGTCAGAAAATAACTTTTTTTTCATAAATTGTTACAAAATAAAAAAAAAAATAATTAATTGAGTCGCCGGAAAGTAAAACCACACATAAAATTCTGACTCCCATTGAATTAACATGGCCGTCAGAATTTTATGTGTGGTTTTACTTTCCGGCGACTCAATTATAAGAATTTTTTAGGACAATTTTTTTTAACTTGCGTAAAACATTTATGATGGAATAAATAATTTATTAATAAGACTTTTTTAGGTTAGTTTTTTTTAACTGTTCTGAAAAAAAATTCTTGTTATTAATTTAATTATTATTGCAGAAATAATATTTTAAATAAATAATAATATTTAATTTGCCATTTTTTCTTATTTAATAATGAAAAATTTTTTTTTCTTTTACAGTTTCTCCAGCTTTTAGAATCAAATCCAGTCGCTCTAAGTAATTTAAACTATAGACACATAACTGTTTTTGCATCAACGAATCGTGCCTTTCAAACATACAATGGAAGTACTGATCATGCTGTGATTCCTTATCATATGAGTGAGTAAAACAATTTATTTTTATTTTCCCTTAAATTTTGCTTAAAAAACAAAATTTTATATATATTATTTATTATTAATATATATTTTATTTTTATGATCTAAAAGAAAAAATATATTTTTTTATGCAAATAAGATTTTTGCAAATTAATCATTTTCGAAAAAAAAATTTCTAAGCAAAATATTAACTATTTGAAAAATATATTTTTTTCTCAATCGATGATTATATAAATAACGTTATAAATTTCACCGAAGTTAAAAAATACATATAAAAATTTGTTGAACTATTTCTTGAAATTTTATAGATATATGTTGAACAGTAATATATGTATAAATTAAATAATCTTATTTGAAGAGGATTGTGCATTTACCGCAATATATCCTATATAGTTATATATATATAACTAGGATTTGTATATTCTGGTAAAATTGCATTTACACAAATCATGATATCTGTAATTATTTCTGCGGTATATGGTCCTGTATACGCGATTGAGTGTTAGCTCTATGTCCCATATCATAATCTCAAATGGACATAACCCATTTAATGTCATGACGTTAATACTACATACGTAACAAATCGAATTTCGCGAATAATATATGTATGCATACATATGCTACATATATGTCTCTATAAATATTATTTTTAGTTTTTAAAATAATCTAAAAGTAGTTTTTTTTTAACCGATCGTTCTGATATAAATTTTGATATTTTTTTTTTTTGTTTCTTTTAAAATATTTCATTAGAATCCTGAATGGAAAATCTTGATAAATTCCGAATTCCAATTAGAAGTTCGATAGTCATCATGTATTTCGATTGAAAATCAATTTTCCCGTGCTTTTTCTTTGAAGCATCTCAAACTGTGGAATTTAATTGCCACATGGTTTACACCCTCTGCCATTCGCAATCCACAGTAACCCTGCGGCAAATAACCTAACTGTTCTCTAATTACTACCAATACACTATTATTGATCAAAAAATGATCCAGGCGTGTTTTCAATTTTTTAGTATTTTTTAACTTCTACTTTTCTTCGTTTAAGAAATTTTTCTATCTTAGCTGTAAAGCTAAAAAAATGTATTTTCTAAAATAATTTTCAAATTAATTTTGACGAAAATAAATAATATTTGGCTCGTCATAATTTTTTATTATGCTTTGAAAATAAAAATGATTTTTTCAGATGATTTAAAAAGATTTATTCTAATGTGACATATAGGTTATTTTATTAAAACAATCTAAAACAGAAAGTTTTAAAAAAAAAAAATTCCTTGGGGAAATTCTTTTGAGACATTGAACTGCAAATTGCGTATTTCGCAGTGGAAGGACATATAACAATAAAAGTTGGTTTCTTTTTTCTTTATACTTTTCTGTGAATAGAAGAGTTACCATAAAACAAGAATACCATTGTCCTTATATTCAGTGGTACAATTGCAGTTACAGTATAAGTGCAATTGCACATATGCGTGATTTTATAGTTTCCTGTCCTAAAGACCTGAAATATATTTTTCTATCTTTAAAATTCATGGGGAAAAATTTTTTTGACTCTTCATTTGTATATTCATATTCAAATATCATTTTTCTTCATACCATTATTCATCCAAAAAGAGGTGTCACATTTTGAACTTTGAACTGTAAATTGCACATAGTGATTTACATTCCCAACTCTGCTTATGGGTTGTCTGCAGTTTAATATTTATTATTTCTACATACCATTGTTCTTTCAATTACATAATTATTTTGTGATTGTGGTTTCAATGGGATAAAAAAAATAATTTTAAATATTCAAAAATATGCGAATTGTAAACCCACCTTTAATGTGACGTGACAACCATCAACATAAGTTACACTGAGAAAAAAAATTTAGTGTTTGCAACAAAATTGTTTGGTTAGGCAATTTTGGTTCTTGTAACTAAATTTTGGTTGGCTGAAACAAAGTCGTAGAGTTATCTTAACCAAATTATTTGGTTGAACATTTTTAAATTCCAAACAAAATTTGGTTACGACAACAAAATAATTTGGTTAACACAACAAAATAGTTTGGTCTAAAAAACCAAATGATCGTTTGTTGTCCTAACCAAAATTTGGTTGCGACAACCAAATAATTTGATTCGCTCTCAGCTTATAGCTTAAGAGAACAATTACTTTAAATCTCTCACAATGATGGGTAGTCCAGTGGTCAGAGCTCCCGACCTTTAGTTTTAAAACAGAGGTTCGATCCCAGGCGGAGATGAAATTTTTCAAAGTCCACAAATATTTCAATTGAATAAATATAAATTCAATGTTAAATTGATAATAAATAAATAATGAAATAAATAAAAAAGATGAAAAGAAATAAGGTAGAATACAATTTTTAATTTTACAAAAAAACTGTTTATTTGATCAACCAAACATTTTTGATGACTTAACAAAAAAAAATTTGGTTGAGTTAACCGAACATTTTTGTTATGCCAACAAAAAACACTCAACCAAATTTTTTGGTTGACTCAAATAAATAGTTTGGTTGCTTAAATACCAACAAAATTTTTTTGTTGGCTTAACCAAATTTTGGTTACTCTGACTAAACATTTTTCTCAGTGTAGTGTATTTTAAAAAAAGGGGTTTTTTTATTCGATTGTTTATTTTATACAATTTTTCTTTTGTTCCACACTTAAAAATTAAAATAATATTATTTTCGATAATCAAAAATATAGTAAAATCAAGAAATCAATTTCTAAACTTTTTAGTAACTGCATTAGACGAATTTTCAATATTCTAATTAAAATCTGACGAATTTCTTTTTATACGAATTTGCATTTGTTCAAAACTTACAAATAGCTGAACAAACAATCGACCGAAAAATTTTGGCGCAATTTTTAAAATTGATCAATTAGAAATTATCAAGAAAATCGTGATTGGTCAATTTAAAAAATTGCGCCGAAATCTTTCGGTTGATTGTTCGGCCCTTTTGTAATTTCGGACAAATGAAAATTAGGCGTCTTAAAAATTCTATCAAATAAAAATTCATAGAAATTAAAATTCGTTGAATTGGAATTTCTGACAAACAAAAATTCGCTTTTTCGTTTATAAGGAAAATCGGATAAATTTCAGGTCGGATTTTGTATACAAAAGGATGAGAAGATATATATATATATATAATATAATCTCAGGAATTCAAGGGGTTATTTGAAATTGTTGAAAATTCGCATATATTATACTAGATGTAGTTTTGCACCTGCGCATTCCATATAATCACAAAGGGAAACAAAATTTTCGCAACTATAGGCTTGAAACCAGTTCAAAGCTGCGCTGTGAGTTATTGACGAACTTTCGATTAATACAAGAATTACCTGAGGCTAAAGTTAGATCTTGTCGTATATACCTACATACTCACATCACTTAACCTATCTGACGGTTAAACTAATCGAGCAAAGTTCTCAGACTGAAATCGACTTCTAAGATTAAATTGATGTTGAAGAGTCCCTTCAAGAACATACCTTTTGCGAATTACACCCTCCTCATGATCTAATTTACCAAAAAAAAAAAAAAAATTTTTCCAACTTGACCAAAAATTATCAAATTTTTCTTTCTTACATTTTTATTAAAACGATTTTTTTAAAATTCTTTTCGCGGTGCATTCAGTATCCTAGAATCATTAATTAGAAATTTAATTTAAAGAATTATTTTATTGTGAATAATTATGTTTTATAGACAAATTTTCATTTTTTGAATTAAAATTTGACAGAACTTTTTCTACACCAATTTTTTATTTAATAAAATTTTTAACTATTGAATTTTTATTTGGCAGCATTTTTATTGCCATGCGCCTGCTTCTCTTATATTTTTATTTAATAGAATTGTCATTTAACATAAATTCTGCGTAGCTGAATTTTTAAATAAAAAAATTTCTATTTCACCGAAACTCACTTTGACCGAACTTTCACTTATCCGAAGTGTAATTTAACAGAACTTTCACATTTAGGATCATACAGTCGGCAGATGCATTTCAGCGGGAGTTTTAAAATCAACCAATCACAATTTTCTTTGATAATTTTTGATTAGTTGATTTTAAAATCCCCGCTGAAATGCATCTGCCGGGTGTATGATCCCATATGTGAAAGTTCTATCAATTTACAATTCAGACAAGTGAAAGTTCGGTCAAATTAAGTTTCGGTGAAATAGAAATTCTCTCACTTAAAAATTCAGCTAACTAGAATTTATGTTAAATCACTCTTAAATAAAAATTTGAAATTTTTTTTGAATAAAATTTTTGTTAAATAAAAATTTTGTTATATAGAAATTCTGTTAAATGATGAAAATTGTATAATTTGAAAATTCGATGCATTAGAAAATCTGTGTGTTTTGAAATAATTCTTTTTTTTTTTTTAAATAAAGTGACACTACTGTGTAACTCAAGTTAACGGAGGTTCGAACAAGTATACAATGTCTTTAGGGAAAATCTATTTGCTTTTGGAAGTACTTAGGGTACTTCTCTCTTAGTACTTCTCCCCCCACCTCTCTCTCTCGTGCCTAGCTGACTTGAGGTCGAAAGTTAACAAGTTTCTCATTTGCTTTCTCTAAAGTCAATTTCAAATTTACGTAACTATAACATAATTACTTTATATAAAAATCAAGCACTATACGAAGACATAGATTTCATTAATTTTTTACGCCCTGAAATAATAAATATAGTAAAGCGAGAATAGTTTTGAGGCCATTATTTTTCCCCTCGACGATAAAGTGTTATTGCGCTATTCGTTTATTTTTTTTTTTTCATTTTCATCATTCCTCTTGAAACTGCTCATGGCGAATTAACGAGACTTCCAAATTGTTTTGGTCAAATGGATTCTCAGAGAAAAGGAAATTTTGCCCAGCAGTCGTCGTTCGTGCGATTCGCAAATTGCTTTCAAAGTGTGTTTGTCTTTCGCGCGACTTTTCATAGGGGAAAAGTAGCAAAAGCTGCCACGATTAAAATCCTTTTCGTGAGAGGCCAAAAAGTTCATCTCCCTCTCCTCTAACATGAGGG